CTCCTCCCTCTCCTCTTCCTCCTCCTCCTCCTCCTCCTCCTCCTCCTGCTCCTCCTCCCTCTCCTCTTCCTCCTCCTCCTCCTCCTCCTCCTTCCGCTAGATGGGATGGGATTTGATCAGAATGGAAAACGCTCCGCGGCGAATTGACAACCAAACGTTCCCCAGTAGTCGGACCATCCCCTGGCGGGGGCATGCTTAGCTTCTTTTAGCTGATGACAACCGAAACGAGACGTGACGTCTCGACTCGGGATGTGATTCTCTTGATAGGTCGTTGTTCAACCTATGATGATCGTAAGCGGGAAAGAAAGGGGGTGCTCGGTCGAACCACCACCGACACAACGCGCATCCTCCAGTCGACCTGAACCATCTCGATGATAATCAAGGTGTCGAGTGAGAGGTATATGACGAGGACTATGAGGATGATGATGAAGATGAAGATGATGATGATATGATGATGAGGAGGGGGATATGAAGATGACGATGATATGAAGAAGATGATGAAGATATGAAGATGATGATGATGATGATGAAGATGATGATGATGATGATGAAGATGACGATGATATGAAGAAGATGATGAAGATATGAATATGATGATGACATGAAGATGATGATGATGGTGAGATGAAGATGATGATATTGATGATATGAAGATTATGATGATGATGAGGATGATGATGATGATGATGATGGTGATATGATGATGATGATGATGGCTATGATGGTGAGATGATGATGGTGATGATGGTGATGTTGATGACGATGTAGTAGCAATTCTCAATGTGGGTGGTGTTAGATAGCACTGATGATGAGGATGATGACGACAACGATAATGCTCATGATGGCGATGATGATGATGATGATGATGATGATGATGATGATGATGTAATTGGCGATGTGGGTGGTTGGATGACAGCAATGATGATGATGATGACGACGATGATGATGATGAAGATGATGACGACGGCGATGACGAGTATGGTGATGATGATGACGACGGCGATGATGATGATGATGATGATGATGATGATGACGATATGAAGATGATGTAGTTGTGGTACTAGTTGGTGATGTGGGTGGTGATGACAGCAATTATGATAATGATAATGATGATGATGATGATGATGATGCCGATGATGGTACTAATGGTGACGACGTAGAAAGTGATGTGTATATATGCCTAATCAAGATGATGAGGTGGTAATCGCGATCTCGACAGCCGAATCAATCAGCCTTGGTCCGGGCCTTCGGATTCGACCTCGGCCTTCAGACGCACTGGCTCTGCTTTTGTCCAGCCGTCATATTGGGCCCTCGCTGCACTACTCTCGACATGCACAAAAGACAAAAATCATGGCAGTGAATCTTTCCATGTTCTAGGTGAAGATTCACTTTCTCGTTTTGCACATGTCTAGAGTAGCGGAGCGAGCCCCCCCATTGTATGTGGCCTGACTTGATCTGATCCTGACCTAACCGTACCTTAGCGGATCTTGTCTGCACCTGATCGTGACTTCTGCTTTGGTTCGCTCATCTCTCTCCTGCTTCGGTCCACGCCTGACTCTGCCTTAACGCCGATGTCCTCTCCCCCTGACCTCCCTGATGCACTGAATCCGGTCACCTCTCGCCAGCTTCGGTCCAGGCCTAACTCTGCCTTAACAGATCTCCTCTCCCTTGAACC